CACGTAGCACATCATTATATACCAGCTAGCCCAACTTCAGTAACCCTACAAACGTCACTGCTGTTTAGTTTTCTGTCTTCATTTATGCTGGAAGTGATAACAGAGCTGTACGTTTTAATTTGTTTCCAAAACCCCGCAGTCAGGACATGCTATATTGTATTTATATAGAAGCTAGCAAGCTAACTTCCTGCTAACTTCTAACTCCGTTAAATGTCATAAATTCCGTTTTCATGGATGCCTGGATGTTAAACTCAGTTGTTACACCTGGTAGAGCAGAACGCTGATCATTTTATTAAAGATGAAAGACTTTAGACAGTTTTTCAACTCTCAGTAATGCTGAGTGATTGTTTGATATATGGAGCTGCAGCGGAGTTTAGACCCAGACACGGCTAGTGACGTCAGACTGAACAACCGGATAATGCCGATAAAAGCTCGACAGTCACATGACCCCTACGAGCGAGCGCTTTGGTGACCGTGGGCTCAGGATCCTGCTCTCAGCTCGAGGTTCGGTTTAACAATGGATTTTAAACTGCCGGTAACTGTAGCAACGGCACTAAGTCCTCATCAGTGTTACCTTCAGTCAAAGAGCTGAAGAACTTCCTGAAGAATGAAACAGAATCAACACAAACACTGTGAGAGTGTACCATGAGGAAGCTGTGGTCCTCAGGTTCAGCTCGCAGGTACTTGAAGATGACCTGCTCCATAAACTTCTCCATCAGGTCCCAGTCCTCCACCATCCCGTGTCGGATTGGCCACTAAACAGCAAAGGACGGAGAACAGCAGCAGACCAAACCATCATTTACATCTCGTTGCACAAACAGGGTCCTGCTTCTTTTCCTTCTCCTACCTTGGTTGCATAGTTGGGTTTGTCTACGGCTTCGTCGCCGATGTAGAAGTCCAGGTCATCGACTCCTCGTACGAGCCTCCTCTGGGCCTGCTCTCCCACGCTGGCCGACTCCTTGATTGCAATACCTGGTGCATGCCATTAACACAACCATAAACATACATGAGTCACGGCTTTCACTGGTTACAGCAGAATAAACCATTGAAAAGTTTATTATGGCTACTCAAAGCACAAAGTGCCGGTGTTCTGGGAATCCATCCTACCTGAAAAAAACATCCTACCCAATGTTTCTGCGCAGACGTGGCGCATGCGCACTACACCAACGCCGAATTAACTTCTCTTTCTTTCACCCATCCGGAATACTTCTTAAGGTTATGGTTATGGTTAGGTTTAGTAGCAAGTCACTGTCAAATTATAACACGGGTAGGACGTTTTGTCAGACTAGGATGGTTTCACCGGAGTGGGGGGTTAAACACACGGTTTGTTGAGTCTGCAGCTGACAGAGAGGAACAGACATGTGGAGCAGTTCCTCCCTAACCTGACCGTCTGCATTGCTCACAGGGAGAGCCTGCAGTGCATCAGTGTGTAATGCACAGTAATCTCACACATTTATTAACTGTGAAAGTCTGCAGCAGTACATAACCAGGATCGCCTCCTGTTGGCACATTTACACATGTGGGTAACGAAGCGCTGACATGCTGCATGATGGGAAATCAGTCATCAAAGCAGCCTTCAGCTGACTGTTGGTGTATACATGAAACTGAGCTGAGTAACTCCATGAAGGAGGTGATAGAGGCCGTGATGAAAGCACAACCTCATATCCAAACTGTCGCGTGCTCCGAAACCTTCGGTTGGTCCAGTTTTAGTCTGATATCTGGAACCTGTTTGCCTTTAGACTTGACGCAGCGTGTGAGGAGGTTAATGATGTGGTGGAGTGTGCAGCATTGGACCATAAAGCTCTCACATTTAAGTCCACGCTGGAACCAGTTGGCCCATCACATACTGTTTTGTAGCCGACCACTTCAAAGCGTTCCAGGCTCCGGTTGCCTAGGTGACCCTCTAATGTATTTACCACCAGGTCATATGTCACTCAGTGGTATTCTTCGCTGTCATTGGGTAGACCCTTGAGTTGCTCGCCTCCAAGTTGAGGAGAGAACATCACAGATCTGCACACTTCACATCAGCGGCCCTTTCTTCATCCACGTGCGCTTGAAGTGGCCAAAGATGGTTCACTCGTTACTGAGAATACCTTCCAGTGTGTATGCAGCTTTAGACTGGTTAGTTCTGACTTGGAACTCATGTCACAGTTATCTTATTGGGAGAACTGGAACAAAAGGTGTTCCACAGGGGTCAGTACTTGGCTCTGACCTATTCACCTGGTTCTCAAATAACCTGGTATCACTGACTAACAGCGGCTCTATTCATTACTATGCTGTGGATACTGTGGTGTACTCATTCACACCTTCTACTGACAAAGCCTTGAACTACCATTCATCCATTTTTATCAAACATTTACCCAGTTTAGAGAGGCTGCAGCCTATCAGAGGGCTGCTCTGAACCTAAAACTGTTTGTTTGGTCATTTCAAAGATGTGATTAGATTTAAGCTTCTCTGGTTAGATAAAGACTTATATTTTTATACTTATGTGGAAGACCTGATGAAGACGCAGAGTTAGGTTCACTTTGAGCTTTAGAAACAGAAAGTGAACCTAACTTAACCTTAACTGTCTGTCCGTCGTTGCTGTGAGATGCTTACAGGACGGCATGATGAACTGTGGCTCGGTGTTTCCTGCATAGCCGATCTTTGTGTATCTGCAGCCACACAGACAGAAACAACAGTTAGACATAAAGGTTCTTAACATCTGGCTGTGGGTCCAAATACGGCCTCTGTGGAAAACAGTGGAGTGACTCCCAGCAGACATTTATAAATTCAGTTTTGCACATAAAACATTGATAAAACATCAGGAAATGAGTCAGCAAACAGAGGCGTGACCGATTACTGCTTTGTCTTTGACCTCTATGTAAATATCCAGTTCATGTAGAAAATGATGAGCAACAGTAACAATAATCAGGACCTGCAGATACAAAGCACCGAAACATCATTTCAGCAGTTTGACTTCAGGAGCGTTTGCCTGACGACACTCACAGTGTTTGACTCATTTTTACTGCAGACCTGTCCTTAGGATGATATCCTTTTACCTCATCACAAGGGAAAAGTACCTAAAGTAACTGTAGTAACTGTAAAGTAACTGTAGTATTTTCACTACATCAAAAAAACACGAACAAAAAAAATGACATCTTGTTCCATTAAACTGAGTTCTGACAAATAAATCATGAAAGATTAAAAATGAACTGAACTGGCTGTGATTGCTGGATAGACCCACACGTCTAATACCTGACCCTGGGATCAGTTCTAATACCTGACCCTGGACCCTGGGATCCCTCTCCAAAGCCAGACCAAACTGATCTGGGACCTGCTCTGAGTGTTTTTGGCTGTTATGCGTGTGTTCACGGCTGACAGTCAGCTCAGCGTCACCCTTTAAACGCCTGCAGCCGTGAGCTATTTCTAAACGACCCCACGATGTCACCTTGGCTCGGGGGCATGGACCGACGTCGAGGCTGAAGGAGATCACGTGATCTCTGATTCTGAACAGGGGGAGGGGGGTCAGTGTGCAGCTGTCCCACATTCACACTGTGGCCCAGAATAGATCGCGCACAGACTGCTCCACAACTTCACCTGAACCTCCATCCAACCAGCAGCTCCCACAGCAGCAGCAGCTGGATGAACATGTGGAACAGCTGGAGCTCAGTGTAAGTACCGCCATCAGCCCCTCACCTGCCCCAACCACCTGATCATCACAGCGCGTTTACCTCCACCCACTGATGGATGATTCCATGAGCCAGCTTTTATTTTGGTAATCTGTCCCTGTAAACACAAGCACGCGCGCGTACAAAAACACACACACAAACACGCACACTCACTCCGGAGGATTAAAGCCAGGAAAGCTGCGGGTCCAGATGGCATCAGCTCGAGGGTCGTCAGGTCCTGCGCAGACCAACTGTGTGGGGTGATGGAGCACCTCTTCAACCTGAGCCTGAGGTTGGGAAGAGTCCCACAGCTCTGGAAAACCTCCTGTGTTGTACCAGTGCCAAAGACTTCACGCCCCAAGGACCTCAACAGCTACAGGCCGGAGGCTCTGACATCCCACCTGATGAAGACCCTAGAGCGGCAGGTCCTGGCTCAGCTTCGGCGCCTAACAAGCTCATCACTGGACCCACTTCAGTTTGCCTACCAGCCTGGCACTGGAGCGGACGATGCCGTCATTCACCTCCTACATCGTTCCCTCGCTCACCTGGAGACCGCTGGAAGCACTGTGAGAATCATGTTCTTTGATTTCTCCAGTGCCTTCAACACCATTCTTCCCTCGGTTCTGAAGGACAAGCTGGAGAACTCTGGAGTGGACCATCACCTCACTACCTGGATCCTGGACTACCTCACCGACCGACCACAGTATGTGAGGACTCAGGGCTGTGTGTCGGACAGGGTCGTCTGCAGTACGGGGGCCCCACAGGGAACGGTTCTGGCTCCGTTCCTCTTCACCATCTACACTGCAGACTTCTCCCACAACTCCACCCAGTGCTTCCTGCAGAAGTTCTCTGATGACTCTGCAATAGTCGGCCTCATCACTGATGGGGACGACAAGGAGTACAGAGGTCTGACCCAAGACTTTGTGGACTGGTGCCAGTTGAACTACCTCCAGATCAACGCCAGTAAAACCAAGGAGCTGGTGGTAGACTTCCGCAGGCACAAGCATTCTCCACTGCAACCACTGAACATCCAGGGTATGGACATTGAGGCTGTGGACAGCTACAGGTACCTTGGTGTTCATCTGAACAACAGACTGGACTGGACTCATAACTCAGGCGCCCTCTACAGGAAAGGGCAGAGCAGGCTGTACCTGCTGCAGAGACTCAGGTCTTCTGGAGTGGAGGGCCCACTCCTGAAGACCTTCTATGACTCTGTGGTGGCCTCAGCCATCTTTTACGGTGTGGTCTGCTGGGGCGGCAGCATCTCTGCTGGGGACAGGAAGAGACTGAATAGGCTGATCAGAAGGGCCAGCTCTGTTTTAGGATGCCCTCTGAACTAGGGCGGGGCTATATCATACCGTTCACAGTAATACCAGTGTAATTTTGGGCAACGATAGGAAAATGAAATACTGCGATAGAATATGGGTAAAACGCGCATGTGCAGTGCCTTTGTTTACATACGCACATGGCGGCGACGCAGAATGAGAAGAGCGAAAGTGGATCGTTGAATGAAACGATGAACCTGAACTGGTTTGTAAAAATGCTGCAGCTTCAGTGGTGTGGAACTGGTTTAGCTTTCGTCCGTCAGACACACAACAAAGCACTATTTTTGGTAGAGCATGCTAGCGGGCCGTCGTTATTACCGTGTTTTTGGAAAATACGGCGCACTTAAAATCAATCCTTTGATTTTTCTGACAGTCGACAGAGCCCCTTATAATCCCGTGTGCCTTCTGTATGAACTCTGGTTGTGTTTACTGACCTCGAAACGATTTTATGTGCACGGCGCTCGAAAATCTGTCAAATGTTTCAGTACGACTTTGCTGAGCTACGAAGCCGCACCGCTTGATGGATTGTGGGAGCATTACGGCTGTCGTAGGCGGAGCCTCGCGGAGTGATACATACTGCGCTTCAACATAATATTACCGTATTGTGTGTTTATAACCTCGTTTTAAGTTTTGTGGATATTATACACGGTTATGCTGAGGATGTGTCGGCCAGTTTCCACTGGAAATGTCAGCAAAGAATTTGCATTTGCACTGTTACATTTTTATATAACTTTAATGCAGATAAAACAGCTGCTTGTTTAAGTGAAAATACATTGATGGGGTTTTTTGCACTAATAAAGTTGGGGAGTTGTAAAGTATTTTGTCTAGTGTCAATTATATCGTCAGTTATATTGTTATTGCAAATGTTCAAATGTATATGGTGATAAATATTTTTGGTCATATCGCCCTGCTCTACTCTGGACCCAGTGGAGGTGGTGAGTGACAGGAGAACGGGGGCTAAGCTGTCATCCCTGATGGACAACATCTCCCATGCAGGAGACTGTGACAGCACTGAGCAGCTCCTTCAGTGGCTGCAGCACCCACGGTGTGGGACGGAGAGATTTCGCAGGTCTTTCCTGCTGTCAGACTCCACAACAAAGACTCCAACTGATCAAACACACAAACCCACACATGTGCAACAAGACTAAGTGCAATACTCTTTCTGGCATCGATGTATTATACTCATATCGTATATAGCATTTGTATTCTATTTTATTCGATTGTATATAGTATTTTATTTTTATTCTATTCTATTGTGTACAGTACCTTATGATATATTATTCCAGTGTTTTTTCTCTAATTTTTCTATGCAACTTTGCACTGTCCACTGCTGTAACAAAACTAATTTCCCACGCGTGGGACTAATGAAGGCTATCTTATCCACATACATGATGCTGTTCACAAAAACACATGACGTCACATGTACTGCCACTGCGCGCGCATGTGTGTGTGTGTGTGTGTGCGCTTGTCCTGACCCGGTCCCGCAGTCTATCACGCACGGGGGCAGCTGCAGGGACATGGCGCGGTCCTGCTCGGTCCGGCCCGCAGAGCTCGGTGTCGGTGGTCGAAGCGGAGTCCGGTGTGTGATGGAGGGAGGAACGCGTCCGCTCTGCGTGCGGGTACGTGAGCATATGTGTGTGCGCGAGCACTTCCGGGTCGGAGGGCGAGATGGAGAAAATAGAAACCGCTGACGCGGCCCCGGTAACCGGAGTCTGTGCTACGTTCACGTAATGTGCGTAAATGAGATCGCTGCTGTTCAGAGCACAGAGAATGAAAGAGAGGAGGAGGAGCAGGCTGTGATTGGCTCATCCTGCTTCCAAAATGTCAACTAATGCGCACTTTGAACTTTTAAATAAAGTTTATGGACGACAATGACGCGCTCGGTGTGATGAGGCGGGACGTCCAGCAGGGGGCGGCAAACACTCACAGCAGCATAGATAGATAGATAGATAGATAGATAGA